TTTTAAAGTATGTTTTCAATTTCATTGATTGATATTGGGTTGTTTAGAAGTTTTAGGTCTTCATTCAACTTTGGTAATTCATATGTATCTAGAAATCTGTCCATTTCTTCTGTGCTTTCCATCTTATTGGCATATAGGTTCTCAAAATAGGTATTGATGATTGTCTGGATTTCTGCTGGATCCATTGTAATTTCACCCTTTCAATCCTAATTTACATGGGTATGGGCCTTTTTCTTCCCTTTTTTTTTTGGATAAGCTTGGCTAAGTGTTTGCCAATTTTGTTTATTCTTTCAAAGAACCAACTCTTTGCTTCATTTATTTTTTTGTATTGTTCTCTTAGTCTCCATTGCTCTGACTTCTGCTCTGATCTTTAAGATTTCCTCCCTTGTATGAGCTTTGGGTTTGTCCTGCTCTTCTTTTTCTAGAAGCTTGAGGTTCACCATTAGGTTGTTTAGTTGAGTTCACTATGTTCTCCTAATATGAGTTTTCACTGCTATGAATTTTCCTTGTAAGACTGCTTTCCTTGTGTCTCATCTCTTCTGATATGTTGTATTGTCATTGTCATTTAATTGTAGAAACTGTCTAATTTCTTCTTTAATTTCCCCTGTGACCTATTGTTTATTCAGAAGTATGTTGTTCAATTTCCATGTGTTTGTAAAATTCTTGTGGTTTACTTTGGTATTGTTCTCCAATTTCATCACACTATCGTCTGATAATATACAGAGGATAACTTCAATTCCTTTGCACTTACTTAAACATGTTCTATGAGTGAATATGTGGTCTATTTTGGAGAACAACCCATGTGCAGCTGAAAAGAATGTATATTCTTATTTTTTGTAGTGAAACTCTCTGTAAACATCTGTTAAATCCATTTGTTCAAGAGTTTGAGTTCTACTATTTTGTTGTTTATTTTTTGTGTAATTGATCTATTTGTGACAATGGGCTATTGAGGTCACCCACTACTGTTGTCTTAGTGCTTACTTGATTTTTCATGTCTATTAGTATTTGTTCGATATAGTTGGATGCATTAGTAGTTTTTGCATATATATATTTATGATTGTCATCTCTTCTTGCATTGTTCCCTTTACAAGGATGTGGTGTCCTTCTTTGTGTCTGTTAATTAGTGTTGGTTTGAAATCCATTTGATCTGAAAGGAGGATAGCTACTCCTCCTTTTATGGGGTTCCTGTCCCATGGAGTATTATTTTCTACCCTTTAATTTTCTGTCTATGAGTTTCTTTTTAAATTAAGTGTGTTTCTTGTATGCAGCATATTGTTGGATCTTCTTCTTGACCCATTCTGTTAGTCTATTTCTTTTGATTAGTGAATTGAGACCATTAACATTAATGGTTATAACTGATATGTATTGACTTATCCTTGTCATGTCTCTCTTTTTTTTAGCTTCTCCTTATTGGTATTTAATTTCTTTTCTTACCTGATGGATTCATTCTGCTGGGCTTTGTGAGATTGTGATCCTCATTGTTTTTTCCTAGGATATTGTTTAAAATTTTTTGGAGTGCTGGTTTGATATTCATTCATGAAGTTCCTCAGGTGTTCTGTCATGAAAGTATCTTTATTCTCCATCCATTTTGAAAGATAGTTTTGCAGGGCACATCAGTCTGGGTTCAAGGTTGTTTTCTTTTAGAGCTGGAAATACTTCACTCCAGATTCTTCTTGCCTTCGGGGTTTGTGTTGAGAAGTCTGGTGTGATTCTGATGGACTTTCCTTTGGATATGATTTGTTTCTTTTCTCTAACTGCTTGTAGAATTTTGTTCTTCTGTTGGGTTTCTTCTGTTGGTTTTCTTATATGCCTAAGTGTAGATTTTTGTTTGATCATGGCTGGTTGGAGTCCTATATGCCTCACTTATCTGTATGTCAAGTTGTTTCCCCCTGCTTGGG